AGTTCTGAGTGTGGCGAGATACTGGAACAAACTCTGTTACGATAATTGTGTGAGTGGCTCATCATCAGTGTCATTTTCAATTGTGATCTTCGCAGTGTCTTTCTTGTGATTGGTTGTTGGGAGTAGTGTCAAAGAGTCAGAAACACTGTGTGTTCTCTCCCCATCTGTGCATGATTGTCTTTCGCTGCTTATTTTACCTGTGTGCAGTTTGGACTATGTCTCCTCTCTCCCCTTCTCTTCTGCATGTATGGGCATGTGTGAGACTGTCTGTGTGTGAGTGGCGATAAAATTCGTTAGGCAACCAAGTTCATTACAGAGGAGGTGAAGGGCGAAGGTGGTTCTTCGGAAGTGAAGCGCGCTGTTTGGGATAACAAGGGAGAGTGAGGGAGAAGAGAGAGACGTACCTTGTGGAGAGGAGGTCGGCATTGGTGTTGACGTCATCACTCGCTGGTCGTCAAGTTGTCTGGTTGCTTCCATGCTGTGGTTGTAGTGTTAGGTTGTAGAGTAGATAGGGCGCCTGGCGCCATTCAAGAGAGAGAGCTACATGGGGTTATGTTGTTGGTGTTGCCCGATTGGGCTTGGACATTGACTCACGATTGTTCTGTATCGTTCTCAAATGGATGGTTACTCGGTTCCATTGTGTTATCTGCTCTTGCTTTGACTACTTGGACTTCAGTGTGATTTTGCAATTTGGATTTCTGTGCTTCGTCCACATTCATGTTCCTTGCACTGGTTTTTCCCTCGTAACTTTGCTGCTGGTCATTGTAGGTCTTAGGTCCGACTAGACATGATGAATGTTGTAGATAGGTAGAGCTATGGAAAGTTGTGTGCACAAAGTAGCAGCGCAAGCATGAGTGCTAGGAGCTTGTTAAACGACCTCTCTAACGCAATGACCAGTATGAACCTGCGTGCAGTGAACCACACTAGCACGATCATTGAGTGTCTAAATGTGATCCCACCCAGCCACCTCGTCCTATTTGTAACATTAATTTATTCCTGAGGATTGTGTGGCCTGTCCTTGAACCGGCTAACGGCTGGATACGTGTGTTCTGCCTTCAGTGGTCTCCAGTGTGGATTTCGTGTGATTTTTCATTGTGTGTGCGTGCTCAAGGTGGCAAACAATTTGGTTCAATGCAATTGGTATCAAAGCAGGTACCCGTTGCATCCGCTATTGGTAATCACAGGCAAGATTAAGGCCAGCGAGATGAGACTTGGAGTTTGACAGTGGGGTTGGAGGCCGAAGAGGAAGTGGTCATAGAGGGGAAATGTTGATTACGTACCTGCAAGTGTGGAGCGTCATGGAGCATCATCAAAGGAACGTTCACAAGTGAAGCGCATCGCCCCCGTAAGCCCTGCATCGGATGAATGAGTGTCATGTGTACCTTCCCACATCTTGGTGTTGCTGCTGCTGGACAGAACACTTGGTGACATATCTGATTTTGACTGGAGTCAACTTCTGGTCAAACACATGTGTATGAAGTAGGTCGTGTCTAGGATAGAAGCTTGAAAGCTGGATGACTCATCCGAGAGTAGGAAGCATGGGCATGAGCGGCGAGCGCTCGTAAAACAACTCGTCTAGCCCTAAGACCGGTACTGACCGGCATGCGACCAAACCGGAGTTGACGCAGTGAAGAGCTATAAGTCTTGAGAACGAACATTCAGATCCTGGTGGGCACGATGTTCTGTCTGCGTCGTTAAGGAATTCTTAAGATCCTTCCTAAGTCACCTATGTAGGGACCCACCTTGTTAGACTTTCGAGTCTGAGTCGACCCATTAGCGAGTCCCAGTTGGCTCAGCTCCACCCCCGCTCATGCCCAGGGCGCGAAGCATTCTTCATAGAGTCACCCCTACCAAGCGCTATGAGATGGTTGAAGGTGGGCCAACGAGCGAGAGAGCCTTGACATTGGGGATGTAGCTCAACCCTCGCGTGAGGTAGGTAGCCTTGTTGATCCTTGACAAACATCCATTCTCGATGCTTTCTTGTGTTTGCAGGCAATTGCTCCTTCCAATGCTCATGCAATCTAAGGGGTTCTTTGAATGATCGTCTTCCTTTATGCCTACGCCAAAAGTCATCCTTGGGCCACGCATCCATTTTCCTAGGTGTAGAGTTTAGCGGCATCGACGAGACAAAGAACTCGCCCCTCGACTTAGGCCTTTTGACTAAGTCACGTAGCCCTTGTTGCCTCACTAGGGCGCCCCTTTTGTTCCCGGCCTCTTGCCGACCTAAATCTCACATCCTACACACCTGACAATAGTCATTCATTCGCATCTCTTTGTTCCGACACTTCTCTATACGTCCCTTAGTTTTTTCAGGGGCCCTCCCAAATACTCAAGGAACTCTTTAATCTATCCAATCATCTTTGTCAACGTCCAGTCATTTGGCCCTCCTTTCACCACCCAATTTTCAGCTTCTCTTTCCTTCCACCAGCCGGTCTCATCGGCAACGTCCTGCTCAAGGCACTTTAGAGAGCTACACACTGAACGGAAGATAGGAATAGGCTCAACACCCATTTGGGGTCAACACATAATCCCTCCCACATTTTTATTCTCTTTGACCTTTTGTTCCTTCTCTTTCCTTTCCTTTTCCTTGTTCAGGCCATTCTCTTCTCATTCTACGACATTCGGGGTGTTGGTCGAATCCACACGCTTTTCATTCAATCAGAAATTTTTTTCAGCCCTCAAGTCCTTCCGATCCTCAAGTCTTCTTCATTCTCAAATCCTTTAAACCCCCAACTCCTTTCAATCCTCAAGTCTCTTTCCTCTTCGTGGCGCAAGGGACCGACAACCCTCCCCTTGCCCTCTTTCTCTACCAAGTGACATCAAAGTTCTTTTACCATTTGTCCCTTGGCAATGTGACAAGATGAAGAAGGGGTGAAGGACATAGCTTAGACTAATAGACTTAGAGGGGGATAGTTGGCGGATGGAGGGGGGAGAGAGAGAGAGAGAGAGAGAGAGAGAGAGAGAGAGAGAGAGAGAGAGAGAGAGAGAGAGAGAGAGAGAGAGAGAGAGAGAGATCCTATGCCTATTCAAAAGGACTCCCTCCCCTTCCTATTTTAACCTATCTCCTTACCTAAGGCTCCCTCTCTTGGGTCCGCAGTCCTATACTCCGTACGCATGGCGCCCAAGTGATAGACGTCGACAAAGAAATAGGTGAGTGCTGGTTAGCTATGGTGGATGGAGGTCGAGGAAGAAGAAGGTGAGTTATGGTAGGCTATGGTGGATGTGTGATGGAGGTGGAGGAAAAAGGTGGGAGGTGGTTGACTATGGTGGATGGGTGATGAAGGTGGAGGACGAAGAAGGCGAGTGGTGGTTGGCTATGGTGGATGGGTCGTGAAGGTGGAGGAAAAAGACGGTGGAGGTGGTTGGCTATGGTGGATAGGTGACGGAGGTGGAGGAAGAAGAAGGTGCGTGGTGGTTTGCTATAGTGGATGAGTGATGGAGGTGGAGGACGAAGAAGGTGAGCGGTGGTTTGCTATGGTGGCTGGGTTGGAGATGGAGAAAGAAGAAGTTGAGCGGTGGTTGGCTATGGTGGATGGGTGATGGAGGTGGAGGAAGAAGAAGGTGAGCG